AAAAAAAAAAAAAAAAAAAAAAAAAAAAAAAAAAAAAAAAAAAAAAAAAAAAAAAAAAAGGAAGGCATCCAATCACACAACTGCACCAGTTTTCAACATGGTAGTGCACCAGTTCTATTATTATATACCTATAAGATGGAAAATTCCAGAAGTTTTTTCTGCAATTTTTTGGTCCTCGTTACTGCATAATCATTAAAAATAACGTCATAAGAAAGTGCCAGATACAATAATATAAAGGATTAAGGGGAATACACAGAATTGAAATCATGCTAGAAATTCTCTCTACTTACCAGTTTAAAGAATGGGTACCACCTTTTCTTGTTGACTTTGTCTCTGAGGCTAAATGCCATGAAAGTGTCTTCGATGCAGGAATGCCTAGAAGGGAAATGAAAAATTGCTCACACCAAGACATTAGCAGAATGTTAAACTGACAACAGAAACTAAAGTTCCTATAAATTTAAAAAATAAAGATAATATAAACTAAAAGAACAAAGTAGCAGCAATTTATAAATCAGGGTAACGAACTCATGTGAACAATAGATTAACTAAATATGTCAACCATAAACCAGATACCTGAGGGCTGAAGACGACCTCTTGCTTGAAAGGGTTGCTGCCTAGCATCGGTTTGTATATGTGGACTAAAATGTACCTTCTTGCTGACAGAATCTAGTTGGAGTAAACAAAATGTGATGGAAAAGGTCGGGGGAGAGAGAGGGAGAAGTTAAAATTCACTTGGTACCATAATAGCTAGATGAGCTAACAGAAGGATGGCTGATACTCTTACTTGGTAATATATAATGCTTATGATGTCTTGGGATCAATGCCAGCAGCTGCTGCTGCCTGAGGCCTTCTTTGCTCGTATACGTTTGACATGTAAGCAGTTGCTAAAATAAAAACAGACTTCATTTTTCATTTGATATCATTAGCTTAACTTCCCAATAAGACATTAGCAAGATATGCACCTGATTTAGACAAGAGACTTTAAGCTCCATGGTTGATACATCTGATGTTTGCTGCTCGAGAAGCTCTGTCAACTTGTAAGCCACTGTACCAAGGTGATCGACAGCATTAACAAGGGCCCGAACAGCATAGTCCTTTAGGTTGTCCACCACCCTGTGGCAATTTTTTGACATTGGTTACATGCCTATTTCTTTTGTGGTCTATTATACTTCCTATGTTCTCATTACATGATATATCAATTCCTCTTAACTAGCAATCTAACTAGTGGTTGAAAAGGGAAGCTCCCTGCCCCAAATTCCTCAAGCATGGAAGACCAGACCTACTTATATGTACGTTAACTCGTTCATACCAAATACCAATACAAAAGAAGAAGAAAAAAAATCCTATCACAGATTAACTTAGTAAATGATTAAAAAGTTTAATTGGCAAGCAGAAGTATGTCCACAATTGTATCAGGAAATTACTGTCAAGAAGTGAACCAGAAAAGCTTACATTTGCTTCTGCTCACTGTGAAGATAGGTTTTCTCACAATATTCAGCAGCAGAGTACAGCTGAGGCCTCAAATTCTTCAATTCCTGAATGTAAGTATAAAGGTCCAAACAGTGTGATTCGCATATTTCTATAAAAGATGAAACTACGAAAATCAAGTAATAGAATGGAAAGCTATGAAGACAACAAATTTCAGCAAGGAAAAACAAAGATCTACAGTAGAAGTTAATCTTCTATCTCGAAAACCAGACCATCCTGACAGTGAACTAACTTTCTACAAAATTATCAGATGTTCCAGCCAATCTCGGTAGAAACATGGCTCTTCTCTCAGATTTTCCTGAATATAGTACGAGGACCGCAGACTCATCCGGAAACTATCACGTGAAGCAAAATTCCCCTTACGCGCAGTGTTGCCAAACATCTAAAAAAATTCTGCCGTATCATGCCTAAACACGACAAATCTAGACTGCACTTCACTGTTTAAACACTTCGAAATAAAATTATTCCGTCAAAGTAGGAACATCGAGACAAATTAATCCAAAACTCGTTGCTCGGATTAAAATTCAAATGAATTTCTTAAATCCTTCAAAAATCCTCACAGCCTTGTGTTCCGGAAAAATCAATCGCCTCAACAATTAGAGCATCCAAATTCAGAAAAAGTCAACCAACCACAACTAGTAAAGCCAGACAAATCAAATCAAGAAAAAACAGAAAATCAAAATTCCTAGAATAAAAAAGAACAAGTAACCAAAAGGAAACCACAAAAGTCCCCAAGCGAAACACGCAAGCGAAAAGAGTTCAAAAAGAGAGAGAATCAGATCCGAAACACAAATCAAGGAAGAAGAGCAAGAAGTTCGAGGACGAAACCTGCAAGGCTTTAACAAAACTCTTGCTCCGCTCCATGGAAGCCTCGTCGAAAGTCATGGCAGGATTGTCCGGTCTGAGTTGATCCAACTCCATTTCTTGATGGAAATCAAGGAATTAGAGAGAAGAAAGCAAGGAAGGGCCAGAGAAATCAAGGAATGTTCCCTGAAACTGATGGTGTAGCTGCAAAACAGAGACAGGAAATTTGGCTTTAATGGCTTCGCCGTTCGGTGGGAGAGAGAGCGCGAAGTGAGTGAGAGAGAAGCAAAGCCGGGAAGGGGAGTGGGATTCTTTTGGAGTTAATTGCAAGCTAAAACGACACGGAGACGGTGGGAGAGAGAAAGGAGAAACAGAGGCGCGTAATTATTTAATGCGGAGGTGGGAATTTATTTATATATTCAGGTAGTTGGTAGCCCATCTCAATAGAATAAAACGGTGGCGTTTTAACAGTTTTATTTTTACTTTTATTTTTATTATTTAAACGGTACGGAATTTATTTTCTTATTTTTTTTATTTTTTTATTAAATTACATGTTTAGTCGTGAGATCTCGTTATATGAAACATTTACTTGTAAAGACATGGAAACCTCTCTCCAGTGACGCGTAAAAATTATGAGGCTGATAATGGGCTAAACTAACACCCCAAGCTCACCGTTAGTAGATATTATCTGTTTTGGATTGTTACAGAGTAAAACACCAGACGATATGCGAGCGAGGACGTTAAATCCCCAAGGGAAATGGTTGGAGAGGGGAATGAAGCTTCCTTATATGGAAACCTCCTCGAGTGACGGAGAATGAAACTGGAATAACTCTTTCTTGTAAGGGTGTGAAACTTGTCCCTTGTAAATGCATTTGAAAATCGTGAGGATGACGGCGATACATAACAGGTCAAAGCGAACAATATTTGTTATCCGTAGGAACATGTCTAAAAATCTAGATCTAAGGTTCAAATACCTCACTCACATGCTTGGACTAGGAAAAAAAAAGTTTTTCATTAAAACATAGTGATTAGATCGACTGACACAAAATGTGAGTTATAATTAATGTTTTTACATTAATTTATTGAAATAGAATAGAGTTTTGGTTTATGCATCAAAATAATAATGAAGAATGATATGAAATGTGGAAGAAGTTTGAGTTTTGAAGATTTGGATTGGGAATAATGAGCTTATAAGTTTTAAAGCAATCATAGTACAATGGATATGACCATCATGCCTAATAATCAAACAATTCTTTTCGCCATACATTTGTATATACTTTTATTTCAGGAAAAGAATAAACTTTGCAAATAAATATCACATAATCATTTTATACAAGGCACCTTTTCAATTTTAAAAAAAAATATATACTTTTTTAATCATATTGTACTTTAATTATATTAAAATAAATTAACGTTCTCGAAATTACAATATTCAATCATTTTGAATTTCTTAAAAAAATATATTTAATGTGAACTTATATTACGTGAAAAAGAAAATTATAACGATAATTAAACGTATGAAATCATATCAAAATAAGAAGAAAAAAAACTTTATATTGGTTGATTTCTAAGTCAATTTCGTAAATTACTCCATATATTTGTCAAAGTCATAGACTTGTTTAGTAGTGTTGTGATATAATAGGTGGGTGGGTGGGGATGTATTTCCATATTTATCTTGATAAAAGATTCTCGTTACGTTCACATTCTATTTGTCACTTTAGAGAATTAAGGTCACTGTTCCGGAATCGAATTTCTACCCAAATATATTATATTTTTTTCTCACTCTATAATTAAAAGATTTCAAACGAAAAAAATAAAATATGTTTTTTCATCAATCCACGCCCCAAATATTGTAATAATTTAATTCAATATTTAAAATAGAATGATTCTAATTTTTTTTAACTTATTTGTCTATAATATATTTTTAATAATAGTTAGAGTATTAATTGGGTTTTTTTTTCTATAATTATTGACTTCCAATAAGTAGATTATTTTTCTAGAGAGGGAATCAAACTATAATTCAATGTGGTAAAATTATTATTTTTTAAATCTAGAAGTTTTTTTTTTATTATTTATTTATTTTTTTTGTTATTATGTAATATGGTAATTAATGAACTTCCAATTTTTCTGCCCGATAAGGTCGTATTGTCACACTCATAATTCATAAAAGTCATTAAATGTATGGTCTTCTCCTTCATTCAATGCCTTTTCTTTTCCAAAATAATAATGGTTTTTTTTTCACTTTAGAATTCAAGCATGAACCTAAGAAATTGGAACCATCAATTATTAAAAAAGAAAACTATAATTTAAATGAATTTAGTTACTTGATTTATACTAATTATATTAATTAATAACGATTGAAATCAAGCAATTTGTATAAATTCAATCAACGAGCTTAAACTTTTTTTTAGAACTTGAAAATAATAATTGTTGGATAAAAAATTAATTATCTTCTTTAGTTAAACCAAATTTAAATCGTTAATTAACTTGTACTCATTAACCACTGTTAAACAAGAAGTAAATGACAATCAATTTAACTTATTCATTAATCAACTTTTAATGCTCTAACCAAACTTAAAAGAGAACAATATCTTGAGATTTCAAACCCTACGACTGATTAAAGAGCTATAGTTCGTTTGAACATCATTCGACAAGTCGAAAAGCATGACGCCGCCGTAGCTAGCGGATCTTTTAACAAATGGCAGCACGTCCCTTATGAGCACCGCCGGCGTCACGTACCCATCGCCGGCTTCTTCAGACGCCGGAATTCCCACGTAAAATTTTCTTGCCGGAATTGAATGTATCCACTGCATCCACGACCTCCGGAACCCAGATGGATCGCCGGAATGGTACTGGCATTGCCTGTCGTTGAAAAATCTAATCCAAACATAGTCGAAAAGTCCGGTGTAAAGCGATTTGGTTAAGTAATTGTCGGGAAAACGGCATCCTGGAGCCGCCGTGAGGTATACTTTCCGACCCCATTGCCGGCCGTAGTCGTGTAGCCTCCGAGCAAGTAGAGTGTAGTAGGGAGAGAACTCCCCGCGCTCAATCCTGACATTACAAAATTAAATTAGCTGTATAATTGGAGTGAAATAAAATAAATTGTTGGTTAAAAATATTTTCTAAGCATTTAGCCTTTTTTTTTTTTTTTTTTTTTTTTTGG